CAGGTTTAAAAAAAAAAGAAAGAAAAAGCTACAATCAGCTTTCCTTATCTAGGGTGCATTTTAGTGACCTGTTTTTCCCAGATTGTTTTCCCACACTTTCCAAATAACTTCCAGTGGAAGGTATTCCATTCAAACTCCCAAACTCCCCTCAGGAGGTCAGTGGGAAGAAGATGGAGAGGAACAATCAGCCGCTCAACTTGGTTCATGGCACTTAACGCTGACAAATCATTCTGCAACAGGTTTCCCGATTCCTAGACTGGAATTAGAATGGCAAAGGGTACCTTTGGCAGGATATGGTTCTTTCAGCCTTTTGAGCTTTTATGTATGGGGCCAGCAACAAAATGTTGCAGTGGAGAATGCTCCCGTGCTGGTCTCCCCATCGCCTCAGCCAACATTCAGGTGATAATTCTTTCTCCACTCATTGGGCTTTTTGTGAGATCTTCCTTAAAGGTGATTTTCATAAAGGTTTTGCTTGTGCCAACTCAAAATCTTGCCGTCCACAGAAGCCTCCTGATAACGGCCCTATTACATGAAGATGGTACTTCTTTGCCTTATATATATAAGGATAGACACTGAGAGAATGAGTTGTTTATTGTAGGTTTGTATTTAAGAAGGGGAGAACCATGAGAATGCAGAGAATAAATTGAATTAAAGAGGCAAAATCCACTGCCACCTTTAAAAAAATGCCCATACATAGTACACCATCATCAGACAGTAGATCCTTATTCGTCATTGCATGCTGTTGGTGAGAGCCTCTAACATAGGAGGAAGCTGCTTGTTGGGTGTGCTGAACAATTTCCAGACCTGTGAAATCCCTAAATCTGGGCCAAAATGAATTGAGTCATCAATAAAAAGAGAGTTAAAACAACCGGTTGAAGAAATGTCCAAAGGAGTTGTAAAAAAATCAACTGGTCAAGAGACCCTCTGAGTGAAGGAGTTCATTTCACCCATACTAAAAGCTTGGGAGGTATGAGCTTAATCGGGATTGTTCTTTTGAGAAAAAGGGCCACCTTAGAGAATATTCCCCCATGTTTTCTCCCATTTCCTAGCATTTTTGTCATCAGTTGTAAATTTTGCTTTTGAGAGCTCAAAGGCTGAAGGTTTGGGCCTCCCCGGATTTTAACAAGTCCTGGGGATTGTCTCATAAATCTTCCATGGGCATGATCTGTCTTTACTGTCAGGGCAAAGAGGCAGGTGGAATTCTTCGCCCTTCTTTGTAAGATGTGGCAAGCAAAAGGAACTTCTTGACAAGGTGCCTGGTTTTAAATTATTGCTGTTACTTATGCCTCCATCTTCATGTTGGGGGGAAAAAAATGAGGCATTCCGTGTCCCTGTAAGGCTTGTCCTGCTTCAGATATTGCCATTCCCAGGTTCCAGACAAGTGCACATTCATATCGACAGCCGAAAGAACATTTCAAGTGGGATTTAATTTTGTGCTTGGTCAGCTCGTATCAGATTAAGAGCCATTCTGCAAGCTAATGGTGTATAGAGCCTCTTTCTCTTAAAAGGAGTCTGGAATTCAAAGACAGAGTTCTCCTTTATTTCACTGCACTTGGATCGAAACCTCTGGCTGTGTTTGATCCATGTCAGATGAAGTGATAGGGTTGGCGACAAGCAGCGTTTTAGAAAGTCCTAGCACAGCTCCACAGACTGTTTTTTTTTCTCCTTTTCATTATTCCTTGTTTGAGATCCTAAGTGTAGCTAAGGGGGGACTAAAGGACAGGGCCAGACTCCAGCGTTCCATCGGTGTAGGTGCCTCTGTGAAGTTTTGGATGTGCACATGGTTAAAATACTTAAGTGGGGTGGGGAGGCGGTGTAGAAAAGGCAGGTCAGAAAATGCACTTTGCATTTTTAAAAAATGAGGTTTGAACAGCAGGCCCTTCTCCTTGTGCAGCACATTTTGCTCACTTTGTTCTTTCATGAGCAAAATTGTCCATGATGACTAGAAACTGAAAAAAGTGCAGTGTTCAAGTTCACTCATGCCGTGCCAGATGGCATAGCATAAGTCCAACCACGAGGATTTCTGAACAGAGGTTAGTAAGAAGAAATCGGTTTGGGTTGGGTTTTGTGTGGGTGGGTGCCCTTGTCTTGTTTGGGCTTCACACAGGAAAAGCCAAACTTGAAGTATTTTTTATCCGTGGGTGCTAGCGTTTAGAAATGCAGAAGGTAGTATTCCTATACAGTCAAGTGAGCCCTGGAAAAAGTTCCCATGGGCATAAACATTTTACGTGGAAGACTTTGCAAAAGTTTTTATTTAGAAGTGTTTCGATTTGTTTTCGGACGACAGCTCCTGGAATTCCACAGGCAACATGACCCCTGGAATTATGGGAGGTATAGTCCAGAAACACAAATCTCGTCATTTTTACTCTCTCCTCCCACAAATTCCATTTTTTCTCCTCTCTCCCCCCCCCCTTTAAGCTTTTAAGTGTAATCATTCATTTATAACAAGAAGGAGGGGGTGTAGTTATTTTCCCCTGGAGTCGCATGGCCATGCGGTATTCTGCAGCAATGCAGCCTTGAATGCTGTTTGGTAAAAATATGACACCCAAATTTAACAGCTAATAAACAGCATGCCACCGATCTATTGTTGGTCAAATAATAAGTTACTGATCATGAAAACAGATATCAGAATCATAGAATCATAAAATTGGAAGGGGGGTATAAGGCCATTGAGTCCAATCCCCTGCTCAAAGCAGGAATACAAATCTCAGGTCTCATTTTGGAAAACATGTCTCTAGTCCTCAAGGACATGTGAACAGACTCAGAATAGCTGAGCACCACAGGGAAGCTGAACTCAGAGGGCTCCCAGGGCCAGGGAAAGCTCAGGTATGTATTCCATCCGGGCAGGAGCATTCACATTTCCGGACTACTTAATAAGACTTCGTGAATTTCTGCCTGTTTTCCTGGGCTGTTAAATCATTGCATATAAAGGAAATGAGAAAATAGCTCAGTGGTTTAGGTCTCTGACTGCGGAGCCAGAAGTTGGGAGTTTGATTCCCCCACTGGGCCTCTTTGAGAGGAGCTGGACTCCATGATCTATAAGGTCCCTTCCAGCTCTGCATTTCCAAGACTGTTGTTGTTGTTGTTGTTGTTGTTACCACTATAATTCTGTGCACACAGATTGTTCTGAGAGGTGCCCTTAAACAAGCATAATTTATCTGCAGTAACTCAAAATGCTACAGGACTTATTCAAAGTGTTGGCTAATTATTACATGGAGCCGGTCTGGAGAAGGATTAAGATTGGTCTCTGCTTTAAATAGCAGCACTTCAGCCCTCCCTAACTTGCTGCTTAAATTTATCTCAGTCCTGGATTGTGTAATGTCAAAGCCAGGTACAAAATGGACAGCGTAGGTGAACGCTGTTGTTCATCATGGCTGCAAAGCCAGTCCCATTCACAGCCTTCCTGAATATATATCTGTAAATCTGCAACATTAATGGGATTTTTAAAGACTGATCTGCCTATGCAGATGATGACTTGAAATGGTCAATTAAGAATTGCATTGTGGGGGGGAGGGGATACTGTACTCTGTAGCAGTTATTCTGCCGTTAGCACCATCTACTGGCTCCCGTTTGGAGTTACTCATGCAAAATAACCTTTGAAGTGTTCCTTTTCTCTCTCCAGGACTGTACATAAGCACCCCCCTCCTCCATTCAAAAAGAGGAAAAGTGGTTATTTCATAACAATGAAAATAGCAATGCTAGCACAATCATCTGTTTGTTGAGTTTATAAATTATCCTTGTGAAGGTTAAGACTTGAACGTCAACCGCATAGCGTTGCTCCATGCTTTACCTTCCTTACGTTGCAGCAAGAAGCTAAGAATGTAGGACGCTAATCTGTATTATATCAGAGTCCTGGTCCCACTCAGCCAATGTTACCCATCCAGATTCTAACCAGGCCTGACTTTGTACTTTGCTTTAGCTTATGAAATCTGACGGGGCCACTTGTGTTGGCCCCCATTCAGTCCCCAGAGGGGGAGCCTTGCATCCCAAGAGATGCCTGAGCCATCCGTCTGTCCCCCTACTTCCCCCACCGCCCCGAATACACAGGCACCCCTTGGCCCTTCCCCAAGCTTCAGTGGCCTTTCTGTTCAAATCATTCACTCCCAGGAAGAAAACATCAACCAGTTCTTCCTGGGCTGTTGTTAGCCACCACTTACTAAGGTTCTTCGGCTGGACATGAAACAAAATGATCCATAAAAACAGGGTTGAGGCAAGCAACTCCAAAGACATGAAGGGCAAAAAATATATACTAATAAAATCCGTGGACTGGCCTTGTCCCCCGCACTGTGGTTGAGCTTTGGAAGTACTCCACATACTCTTTACTCAAATTTCTACACTTATGTGTTTGTGTTGGAGAGCCCGTGAAGCATAGTGGATGTTGTGTTTTACTAGCATTTAGGGGAATCGGGATCAAAAACCTTGCAGAGTCATGGAAGCTTGGGAGGAGGCAATGATAAACCACTCCATGAACATATCTCATGCCTCGAAACCCTATGAGAGTTTTCCACACTGACCCCATTTGACTTCAGTTTTATGCTTCCCTTTGCTACCATCATTCAGCTAATTAGCCTTGGAGCCGCTTGTCCTTATTTTATTAATGTCTTAACTTTTGTGTATTCACTATGTAGCATTGTATGTGTTATCTATTGTTGTAAAGTACCCAGACTAGTGCTTTGCCGTGTATGTGGCAGTGTATAAATCAAATGCCAAAATACGAAGATCACTCTAAACGGGAAGTGACTTGACAGTATATAACAAAAACAAGTTGAACGGAATCTCCTTTTCTCCTAAAACTGGATCCCAGGGCAGTTTGCCAGATTAAAAACAGGCACGCATAAAGCCACAAAAGGTGACATTAAAATGTATTTGAGCAAATTAAGATACTGTATTCAGCATTTTCAGCGTCTTTAGCAAGGTTGATCAACCTGGCATTCGGTCGACGCCGGTCGCTTTCCAAAATACGGCCGCCTAACCTGCTTTGTCTGTTCTTTCCCCTTTAGGTCTTCCTGAACAGTACTATAGCCTCACGTGGTTCCTTAGTCCAATTCTGGGCCTCATCTTCACGCCTTTGATAGGGTCAGCGAGCGACCGCTGCACCCTCAGCTGGGGCCGCCGGCGGCCTTTTATCCTTGCCCTGTGCATCGGAGTCCTCTTTGGAGTGGCCCTTTTCTTGAACGGCTCCGATATAGGTACGTGAGGCCAGCTCTGCTGACTGTTCTTTGATCGCCATCCGTCCAGGATCGTGCTGAGTAGTGTCCCTTTAGAAGCAATGGGCATTTTCTGCAGGACCAGGGGGTAGAATTCTGCTGTCAGATGCCAGAATTCTGTAATCGGGACAGGCAATGTGGCTTCACTGGCTTGCTCTAATTCCACCGCAGGGATTATTTCGTCTGTTGAAGGACATCTGAATGATGCTCTTATAATATGGCGAAGGGAGGGGCAAGACTGACCTATCCCAGAATACTCACTTGGTGGGCAACCTAGGTTGGCCCAGAGCTTGGAATTAATTTTTCTTGGACTCCACATCCCAGAATCCTTCAGCCGTGGTTTCCTTCTGATGCTTGCCAAAATAGTATCACCTGGTGGTTTGCGGTCCTGGTTTGTATAAAGTGTGGGAAGGTTTTTTCTTTCCTCCTAGGTGAGGGTGGCTGGTTTTCAAACCAGGATGTCTGCTGGGCACAGAAGAGGAAGGAGTGGAAAGGAGCTTTATGCGCTCAACCTCATCACTTCTGGACTGAGATTCTGCAGAACGTACAGCCAGGGGTTGCCTTAAACCTGTGCCCAGCTCAGGAGAAGCCAGAACCTGAATTAACAAAGTACTGGAAAAAAAAAACATAATTAACCCCCTTAGCTAGGGAGTCCACTGTCTTCAGCAGCTCTCCCCCCACCCCTGGCCCAGCCTTTGTTTCGTTCTCATTCAGAGCTGGTGCCCTGTTTATCCCAGCCCTCGTGAGCTGCTTTTTTGCATGTACACCTTCCCGTTCATACAATCGCTGCCAGCAAAATATCAGAAGTCGCTGAAATGAATCCCGCCAGCTCTTGGCATGGGAAACCCGTAGGAACCTGTTCACAGGGAAATGTTTCCTGTTGTGTTCTGATTTCCCTTTAATGCATATCTAGCAAACACATCCTGTTTCCAGCATTATTTTAAAAAGTCAGGGGAGAGAAAAGAAAAATCTTTTCACCTTTTCTCATTGTCGTTCGTAGAGGGCTGCCTTGACATAAGTGGGGGGGGGGGAGATCATAGCATGAGCTGAAATTTGTTTATTGAATGACTAAATGGAGAAAAATGTTTTTTTCGCTCCCTTATCTGTGTCAGCGTTCCAGGGAAACAATTGAAGCTGTGAATTTCCCATCTTTGGGAATTCAGGCTAAGCGCAATTCTGCAGCAAAAGCTCAGTTTGAGAAAGATGACTCGCTCCCCTTTGGTGCCGTTATCGTGCCGTGAGATGGCACAGATTTAATTTTGTAGTTTATAAAATGTACCTAGATCAGGCTACTGCAGAATGCCTTGAGCCCATTAAGCTGCCTTCTGCAGAGTAAGATCGTTTGTCCAACAACGACAGGATTTCTGCGCAGATCGATTTTGTGGGGTTTCGGAATACAGCTTTTCCTCATCATTCTTGGAGGGTCTGGGGATTGAACCTGCAACCTCCGCCTTGCAAAAGACTTGAAAGGACTGAAAGGGCTCCTTTTCTGCACCCTACTCCTTATCAAGGCCAGTGGGAGTTGTAGTCCAGAAGAAAAACTTGTCTGGGCTCAGAGCCTATCTTCAGGTCACTGAGATCTGGTTCTTCCCTCGATGAACTGAAGCGCTCAAGCTTCATGCACTTGACTTCCTCAACCTGCAGGTCTTGATTTTTGCGATGATTGAATAGAGAATACTTTAATGATAGGCTTCGATTTTCAGAGCATTCTCCACGGTTGAGGACTAGAAACCTAGAAGCCCCTCCTTCCATCATATATTTAAAATATTTTGCTCCACCTTTCTCCTTAAAAAAGGACTCAAGACAGCTTACATCATTGAAAAAAAGACAATATTTGAAAGTGAAAAGCAATAAGTTATACAAATATTTTAAAAGAATTAAATAAACTTTATATTCAGAATGGTAGATCAAACATCCCTAAAACAGATTTAAAAACAATAAAAATACAAACCCATCCCATTTTAAAAACACCTGTCAGACAACCAATCGCTAAGGGCGAAGAGAACGGTCTTTGCCTGCTTGTGGAAGAAGAGAAAGGATGGGGCCCGGCTGGCCTCCCAAGGGAGGGAGGTCCAGAGTCTGGGAGGGAGCAGCTGCACAGAAAACTCTGGTGGTCAACACTGAATGTAATGGACAGCCCCAGCCTCATCCAGCCAAGCCTCTGTTGTGCAAGCCAGGTCAGCGCCCTCATCCAGGATCGGGTCCTGGGAGGTGGTTGTTTTCCCATTTACTGAGTAGCCGTACTTTCAGGCCAGGGTGCTTGACACACACACACACACACATAGACACCACCAGCCCCTCAGGGCTAGCCAAACAATTTAAATTATTGAGCAAATACTCTTTGTTCTGTGGCAGCTCTCTGTATTTGTTCTGGCAAAACATTGTGTTGTGTCATGGTAGCCAGAAAGATGTCAATAATTCATTCTCTCTCTTTTCTGCTCCCCAAAGAATGTTTATAAAATTTGTGTCATTTTTTTTGGGGGGGGAGACACACCATCTTACCCGTTTTGATCTTCCTCTAGTTAGCTTTTGTCTGAAAGAGGATGAAAGACTTTGCATCCAGAATCCTATTGATTCTGGATGCAAAGTGTTTCTTGTACCTAAATTTAAGTATTTTGATCAAGTGGCAGGGTGCGTCTCATATGTGCATGGTGTGTGTGTGTGTGTGTGTCTTTCTTGTACCTAAATGTAAGTATTTTGATCAAGTGGCAGAGTGCGTCTCATATGTGCATGGGGTGTGTGTGTGTGAGAGAGAGAGAGAGAGACTAGACGCAACCAAGAAGTGCGCAGCATCTCAGCCACTACCTGCAATGGGTAGTGTCACGTTATGCAAACCTGGTGTTAAAACCTCTTGTGGGGTTCTGGCCAACAACAAATCTTTGACAAGGGACACTTTTCAGGCAGGCTCTTAACAATCATGATTGAGTTCCAGAGCGGCATTTTTAAGTTAAGATCATTTTTTGATATTTACCTGCTTTTATTTACAGTAGGCCTCCTGTATCGGTGGGGGATTGGTTCCAGGCCCCCTACGCACATGCTGAACAGTGTGGATAATAGTGAATTGATATACATAGCATAGTAACAACTAGACATGGGGATGAATAAAAAAACGGATCGTGATATTCGTAAAAAATCGCTGATTCATTAAATATTCATCCCTTCATATTTGTCAGTTCCAGAGACCCCAGCAAATATGAAGAGATGAATATTTCTTTTTTTATTCGTCCCTCATTTTTATTCAGCCCCCTATGGCCTTCCCATTCTGCCTGTGGGCTCGCCAATCAGCAGCCAGCCAGCCAGCCACCCCCACAACCTATTCCCCCTTCCCTTCCCTACCTTAGCCACGGCCGCCATCCACCACCTCCCAGCGCCGTCATAATCTAGTGCCCCTTGCTGCTGCCGCCATCCATTGCTGCCCACTGTGGTGGCTTCCACAGCCATGGCCTTCCGAAAGGGACACTGGCCGCCCTTTGCAAAGATGGCAGCTGCGGCTTTCTTTTAGGGCAGAAAACATGCTATTCAATCATAACATGGGCCACAGGGTTGAAACGGCCATGGGAAAGAACCCTGCTCGACACCAGTCTGTGGAAGGGATGTCCCCCTTTTGACCCCCCTAGACAACACCCTCCTTTTCGAATTAAAAACCACCCCCCGTGTGTTTTGGTTCCTTCTCTGCCAGGTCTGGCCATTGGAGATGTTCAAGACAAGCAGCCCATCGGCATCATCCTCACTGTGCTGGGAGTGGTGGTCTTGGATTTCTGCGCAGATGCAACAGAGGGGCCGATCCGTGCCTATTTGCTGGATGTGGTGGACAGTGAAGAGCAGGACATGGCACTCAATATCCATGCCTTCTCAGCTGGTATGCCGTTCTCCTCCTCCTCGTTGTCCCACAGGGCTCAGAACAATATTCCCACTTTTCTCCAAAATGTCAAGTTTGTTTAAGGCTACAGCCTGCTTCCTTATGTAGCTGAGTTACACCACAAAGTAATTAAAGGAAAATTTCACTGTTGCTGGATACACCTGTGTTTTTTTTATTGTCTAGAAGATTATCTAGAACCAGAATTGGACTTGAAATGCATTTGAAAACCAAGGTGTAATGTGATGCTTGAATAACAAGTAATAGCTGGGGTTCTGTTGTGGCTGTGTTTCCAGAAATAACGGCGCCCAAGGTTTCAAAGGCTAAGGAGAGGAAGAAAGAAAATGATCTAAGCAGGTTTTCTGTTTGGGTTCTTAAACCTTTGTTTGGACTTTAAACTTCAGTTGTCCTTAAATAATCGTTTAGTGTGATGTCAGCAATGAGCCAGTGAGTGCTCTTAGCGTCCAGCTCCACTGCCTGGTCAGCTATTGTGACAGTAGGTTAAAAGGCAGCCTCTCCTTTCTTGGTAAGACGCTTAGAAAGCAAGCTGGAATTTTCAGCTGCATAAACAAGCCAACCTTATCCCCTTACTAGAGCTCCTAGTGGCTTAAGTAACCCTGAATCTGCCTGCAGAGTTGGTGTCAGCAACCATGTTACTATTTGATGGAATTGAGGCTGGACTTCCTAGAAGTGAGAAGGACATGGCACTCAGTCTCCATGCTGGAGATTTGCAGTTAGGCCAGCAGGACAGATGTGGGCGAGGTCCCAGGACAGATGTGGGCAAAGTCTCCACAAGCCCAGCCTCTTGAAAGATGAGGAGCTGCCTTCTAGGGAAGGGGCCAGAAGGTGTTCCCAATTACAGCTAGCTGAGCAGTGAATTGGCCTTTGGAGCGCTTGGCTTGGAAAGGAAATACGGTTCTACAAGGATTGTGCCCAAGCAGCAGTTCAGAGAAGCCATTAAAATGTACTCTGGTCAGTCGGCAACCACCTCTTTAAAAACTTGTGGTTTGGAGCTGGTTGCAGGGCTAATAAAAGGACTGAATACGATGATGGCTGAGAGCAAGCCAGCTATGCACACATCAAAGGATCAGGGGTTCTGTTTGGTTGCGGAGTACATTCTAAGCAAGTTGGCTTGACGACACGGGAGGCCAGTACTGGGTTAACGTGTAATGCCAGGTCCAGGAAGGCCTGAACCCATGCCTGACTCACGGCATGTGGCCTTGAGCCTGGCATTCTCTTTGACCTGAATTTACAACAAATTGAGTCCAGGAGAGAACCGAGCCTGCGGCTTTAAGCTTCTTGGAAAGAAGTAAAGGCTGTAAACAAGCTAATCCAGTATTTTTGTCCGTCTCAGCATGCTCCACGAGTGCTTTGATCCTCTGGTAGCCCAAAAAAGAGCACACAGACAACATGAACCCTGACACAAGTGAGCCACCAGGGGACAATTTACATCGTTAATTACCTATCGCCAGGCTCCTTGTGTTGTCAAGTCCATTACCTGTGATAGAGAATACCGTGCCTTTTTCAAAGTTAAGCGGGTGCCCCATTTCATTTGTTCCTCTCCTCCCATAACGGTGCCCACTCTGTGAATGGCAACCCTGAGGGAGTCAAGAGCCACCTGTTAAAACTCACCTGAAAAGGTGGCCTCGTGCCCCTATGTTGTTCTCGGCCTGTTCAGAAAGTGGCAGGCTCACCACCTTCTCTTTTACTTCCTTAGGTCTTGGAGGAGCCGTTGGCTACATGCTGGGGGGCCTTGACTGGATGCAGACTTTCCTCGGGTCTATTTTCAAATCCCAAGAGCAGGTCCTGTTTTTCTTTGCAGCCATTATTTTCTCCGTCTCTGTCGTCCTCCACCTTTGCAGCATTGAAGAAGAGCAATACAACCCTCAACAGGACAGGATTGACGACGAAGCCGACACCTTGTCAAGCATCAAGCTGAGCGGGAGCCTTCCACCTCTGAACCGGCTCAACGTCATCAGCGAGGAAGACCCTTATGGGAACCCGGCCTTCCCAGATGAGGTCCAGTCTGAACAAGACCTTAGCATGGACTTTCTGGATGTGGACATCGTACGGAGCAAGAGCGATTCTGTCCTGCACATGCCCGACGCCACTTTAGAAATTGAATCTGAGCTCCTTTTCCTTCACGACATCGAGCCTTCCATCTTTCAGGACTCTTCTTACCCAAACACCCCTCACAGCACCAGTCAGGAACTCATGAAATCCAAATTCAACCGCCTGTCTGCTTTCCTCAGGGAAAACGAGAAGGAGGAGGAGATGTTACTTGATAATCACTTGAACGAAGCCAAAGTCCCAAATGCCAATGGTTCTCTACCAAAAGATCTCCTGAACGGACATGCTAGGATTGGCATGAAGCAGTCAAGCACTTCGAACTCCATGCGCCGACGAAGACACATGTTCTACCGCCAGCCCTCTTACACCTTCTCCTACTACGGCAAGGTTGGCTCCCACCGCTACCGCTTCCGGCGAGCCAACGCCATCGTCTTGATCAAGTCCTCTCGGAGTATGAACGACATCTACGACATGCAGAAGAGGCAGCGACAGAGGTATCGGCACAGGAACCAGAGTGGCGCGACCAACTCCAGCGGCGACACGGAGAGCGAAGAAGGAGAAACTGAAACCACGGTCAGGCTCCTGTGGCTGTCCATGCTCAAGATGCCCAAGGAATTGCTACGGCTTTGTGTTTGTCACCTGTTGACCTGGTTTTCCATCATTGCTGAAGCTGTATTCTACACAGACTTCATGGGGCAAGTCATCTTTCACGGTGACCCCAAAGTAAGTGCAGGATCAGCCTCAACGGTAGCTTAAAACTTGCACCATGCAAATGGTGATGGTAGGAATTTAGCTTAAGGATGGTGAACGTAGGTCCCGCCGTCTCTTGCCATCTTCTGCAGTTTGGTCTTCCTGCTTTTCTGTGTTGCACCTGGTGTTCTTTGTTGGAGCCAGGAGCGAAGGGAGCAGTGAAGAGAGATCTTTGGAGGGAGATAGATGGAGAGGACCCAAATGGGGGATAGAGGACACGCTTTACAGGCCAAGGGGCCCAGGCTCAATCCACAGCAGTGCCTGGTAGGACTCAGTAAGCATCCTGTCTCAAACTTGAGGAAGTTGCTGCCTGTCAAGAGTTTTTGGTATTGGGCTAGGGGATCAAGAGTCTCATCCGGGATAAGACAGTGCTCCAAGTTCTGCCTTGCCACCTTGGGTCCCTTTGCTGGAAGAAAGGGGGCATAATCTGCAGTTAAGAAAACAAAATAAGTTCCCATGATAGATGAGGAGTGGTTTGCTTGTAATGGCATGGGACTTCAGATGGCAAAGAAGCTCGCTTGCAGGTGGACACGTTGCTTGCTCGAACCAGCATATGGATGCACCTCTACACAGTAAAAATTAATGTGGAACTTAAAGCTTACTTGGGTTTGTTTTGTATTTACCCTCAGACCAGAAAGAACTGAAGTGAGTCTTAATGGGCTAAATCCAGTTGTGTGTCCCAACCAGAGCAGACCCATTGAATCATGTGTTAGCTTAACAAGTCCCCTTGATTCTGTGGATCTGCTCCAGCTGAGCTTAACAGTTTGATTCAGTCAATCAATAAACTAAATTGCTTGCCTCCTTTCACTTCTGTAAGCTACTTTGAAAATCACCCTCTAAAAAGTTGAAAATAAAACTAGATTACAGAGGAAAAAGGAATGGGTGTTAAGCATGGCCCGAGATGCTGATGTATGTTCTGTGTTTTGGGGAATTTTGGTTACTCTTTTTAGTTAGCAGGATAGGAGGGTGAAAAACAATACAGAAATAAGCAGAGATCAGTGCAGTCTCATCTCCCCCCCCCCCAGTTTCTTTTGCACACGAACTAGCACTCTGTAAGGTAAAAATCGCTCTACAAGCATTTAAGGTAGAAAAGGGTATGTTTGGTTGTTGTGGGTTTTTGGGCTATTTGGCCGTGTTACTTTGGAACACAGCCAAACAGACTGAGAAACCTACAACAACCATCAGATCCTGGCTGTGAAAGCCTTTGAGAATGCAAAGGTATGTTTACTTACAGTTACCATGTGTAGTTACAGTCAGAAGGGGTAGGGGAGGAAAACAGAATTTCTAGTATGTAGGAAACCTTAGAGTATATGCTTGCTGCTTGGTCAGAGGAAAAAAGAAGGCTATCAACAGCACAAACCAGGAAGCAAGTAAACAAACAGGAAGAGGGGGCAGAGGCTTGCCTCAAAAACCAGAGGCAGGAACATAACTCTACCAATCAAGTTCATGCCAAAGGACAATTACAATAGGCTGTAAAGCCCCTCCCACTGATACCCAATGTTAGTTCAGGCAAGAATTGTTGCTGTGTTTCCCCGAAAATAAGACAGGGTCTTATATTATTTTTTGCTCCGAAAAAAGCAGGAGGACTTATTTTCAGGGAATGTTTTATTTTTTTCATGTACAGCAATCTATGTTTATTCAAATGCAGTCATGCCATCTGGTTGCTGCACAGTGGCGGAGGGTGGGCTTTCACTTAACTGGGGATAACTTAACATTTTGGGATAGGCCTTATATTACCAGCATCCTGAAAAATCCTACTAGGGCTTATTTTCAGGTTAGGTCTTATTTTCAGGGAAACAGGGTATTATTCCAGCACTGTGGACTTGTCAGCAAGATTGCCATATTATGCTTAAATAACCCCTTTTTTCTTTTTCTGCAGGCCTCTTCTAATTCTACTGAATTTCTTGCCTACAATTCTGGTGTTCAGATGGGCTGCTGGGGATTAGTCATCTATGCTGCTACAGCTGCTGTGTGTTCAGGTAAGAGATTGTGTACCAAAGACCATCTCTTCATTCAGAGGGGGAGGGGATAGTGCATGTCTAACACTGAGCTAAAATGCAGGAGTTAGGTCGGAGTCGGTATCTGCCTGCCTGCTTACCTGTTCCACCCACCCACCCTTTAATCTAGTGGCCAGGCCGTCGCTCTGCGCAGTATAAGGAAGCAAGAGGTGAGTGAAAGGAAGTCTGACATTCAGATGCCTGGATTGGGAGTGAGCAAGTGCCAGGTGTAGGTTCAGAGCCTGGGCCAGTTCACCAAGTCACCAAGCTTTTTTTACAGTTAGAAAATAACCTCTCTTTGGATGGAAAGCTCACCTGGACATTGGCCTAAACTCAGTGGCTAACCCCAACTAGAGCACTTGAATGGAATCAATAGATTTCCCTAAAGTGTTGATTTATCATTTGGAAATTGATTCAGTGGCTCGGTTCTGATTGGGACAGGCAGACGGACTTAGGCCATCATATTTGACCAAGGGTGAGAGTAGCGTCTTTGGGGCGACTCCATTGCCACCCACTCACACTGCAGTATCCTCTGGGAAAATGTGGCAGAGGACCTGGGGCTGCTCTGTTTCCAGGTTCCCGTAAGAAAATGCTAGTGATGATCAGGAGTGGGGTGGAGTGGTAACAGGCTACAAAGTAGAGACATACTGTATTTTTCCGTGTATAAAATGACACTTTTTCCTAAAATAATTAAAGGAAAAATTAAGGGTCATTTTATACACAGAAGTAAGGAGGGGGGAGGGATCAAAGCACCTTGATCCCTGCTTTCCCCCTCCACATTTTGCCAAGAAAATGGAGGGGGAAAGGAGGAACCGCTTTCCCCCTCCATTTTCTTGCAAAGAAAGGTTGAGTAGAAAAGTGGGGGGTCTTATACATGGAAAAACATGGTACTTAAATGCCACTATTGTAGCAAAACCCAGAGGCTTAAGAAATTGCTTTATACTGTTAATTTTTGGGAAAGGGCAGTAGCCCCAGTGGCCATGCTGGCTAGGGGGTTTCAAGAGTTGTAGACCCCAAGCTCTGTTTTTTGCTGGAAATGTTGAGGATTGAACATGCGACCTTCACTCTGACCAGCTTCCTATGCGATTTAAGGCTGATGCCATTTAGAAGCTGAGTCATCCTCCTCTTCTTCTCCTCCTTCCCTTCCTACCAGAGGCTGCATCTTGCCATGGCCATTTTGACTTTGGAGGCAGCCACTCTATAAAGAACTGCATCCCACCTAAATGCGTGCTTTGGCAAATTTCTGGCAAGGGGACTGGAAAGGGGGAGCAGATGGTGGCAATGGGAAAGGGAGGGGAGGGGAGGCGTGGCGGCTTTTTGGAATGTATCCTCCTGCTGCAGAGTCTCTGGGCCCCGGACGCTAAGCAGCCCAATGGGCTACGCGCATCAGGAGTGTTAAGGATTTTCCCACAGCCTAACCTTCCTTCACTCTTTTGCAGCCTTACTGCAGAAGTACCTGGACAATTACGACCTTAGCATACGAGTGATCTACATCCTGGGCACGCTGGGGTTCTCCATAGGAACCGCGTTCATGGCCATGTTTCCGAACGTTTACGTGGCCATGATCATGATCAGCACCATGGGCATTGTCTCCATGAGTATCTCCTACTGCCCCTACGCGCTTCTCGGGCAATACCATGAAATCAAGCAGGTAGGTGACGATTCCCGCGGTCTCCATCCTACGAACCTTTCCCAGGAAGGCCCAAGAATTGCTCGGCAAAGCCGCCGGACGTACAGCAGCATTTGAAGGAGCTGTCGTTTAGTGCCTCGGGGAGACTGGCGCAGCCCACGAGGCCCTGAGGTAGCTATCTCAGGCGGCCGATTTCAGGTGTGGTGATGGGGCTGCAAAGTGATAGTCGTTTGGCGGTGGCTGTTCGACAGCTAGGAAAAAGGATATTCTGCTTTGTGTGAAAGCCACAGATAGAGAACTGGAAGGCTCGTTCTCTCCCTTAGTTACCATGTCTTCTGTGTCTCTTTCAGTATATTCACCATAGCCCTGGGAACTCCAAGCGAGGATTTGGCATCGACTGTGCCATTCTGTCCTGCCAGGTCTACATCTCCCAAATCCTGGTGGCCTCTGCCCTCGGAGGTGTGGTGGACGCCGTAGGCACAGTCCGGGTCATACCGATGGTGGCTTCAGTGGGCTCCTTCTTGGGCTTCCTGACGGCCACTTTTTTGGTCATCTACCCGGATGTTGGTGAGAGTTCCAAGGAAGAGCAGAAAGGACTGGCTCCTCCCAACGTGGCGGAAAGCAGTGGCCTGGACGAGGAGAAACCAGCCGTGATCAAGCTCTCTCGGAAAGAAGTGGCCACAGCCGACGTGGAAAGCGAATCCACCGTTTGAACAAAACACCCTCTTTCGCATACATTCCAAGCAGTTCCGGTGCATGACTTGGAACATGGTTGAACAGGCAAATCTGAACTTTCGGAAGACATCTTCGCTGTGAGACTTGCAGCCATGGATTAAAATGGTTCTTTCATGCAAGTGTCGTTGAAATCCCATAGTGCTAGGATAGGTCGCTGACATGCTGATTATTTTCTCTACAGTCCCGAAATAACTTGGTTCTTAGAGGTATGTTTAATGAAGAGAAATACACTGGGGTTCCCAGGTGACCTCCCCCCAGACAGAAAAGCTCTTCCTGCATGTGTATTCTGGGCTTTTTTTGTTTGTTTGTTTTTCTACATTATCCTGGCATTCCCCCCCCCCCAAATGTCTCAGATGATTAATTTGGACAGTTTATTTTTCGTGATTTATTTTAGATTGTAACTGAAAATGGAAAAGCCATTCTGGTTGCAGTTATTGAAGAGGCTCATTTTTTTTCCTCTCTCTTTCTTGGGCTTGGTCTAAACTCTTTGGACCACGAGGTTTCAGTAGGAGAAGCCCTACGGTTGCATCAACCAGACTTGACGTTAGACCTGATGCAGTCTTAAAATAACAACTGCAAGTCTTGGGTTTTCTCCCTTTTTCAATCTTAGCCTGGATGTCATCGTTTTGGGTGCAATTGATATTTCTCCTTGAACCCATTGCAAGCAATAACTCCCAAAAATTGCTATCCTTTTTTTTCCAATGAGTTCCTTAAAACATTTGTCCCCAACAGCTATCGCTTGTCATAGTTTCTGAACTGTGATCTTCTTTGCTAAGGAACTGGGGGAAGTGTCTGTCCCTGGGAAGAACTTTAATTGGGCCTCAGATGGCCTTTGGGGTTTGAAGGAGAACATGCTGTGACTCTTTTGACCAACTCACTGGTCATTTATTGGACTATTCTTTTCTTGGACTCTTCCTTTCCTTTTGAAGGGTGTTATGTGTGGCCTTTGAAAGTCAATCATCTCCTTTGTGAGGAAGCTGCTTTGAGTTTGGGGACCTCCCTTGGTTGGTTTCTTCACTATAGAAGGGGAGGGTTTCCCTGGTTTGGAAGGGCCTTTCGATTGCACTTTTTCTGAGCTTTCTGGGTGGGAAATGGTGATAGTTGAGTTTTAAAAGGTAGTCTCGCTCTAACGAGCAAAAACCAAAGGCCTACCTCTGATCCCACAGGCTAGTGTGTGTGTAGGTGTGGCTGGTTTGTTCGTTCAAAATATATATATATATCTTGAAACAGCTTTGGGCCTTAAAGAATCCAACATTTTAAAAGATGCTGTATCTTTTTCCTTGGTCTAGGAATACAATTACTAGAATCTTACCAGATTCTCTCTCCCCCCTCCCCATCCCTTTAATCCCAAACTCTTCCACCCCCTCCTTCCCCACTTTTGACTTAATGCTGGTTTCAAGATAGTGGTAGTTAACACGTACTGGAGACTATTCTTGGAAGATGGGGGGAAAGAGTCCCCCTTTTTTTTCCCAGCAAGACACAGGTCATGGGCAGGCCAGATGCCGATACCAAACCAAGTCAACGTTAGGAGTGAGCAGCCTCTTACAGGGATCTCATAACACAGAGGACTTTCATTAGGAACTTTCTCCAGTGGAAGAAGGTGTTGGCCTTGGGCCATTCCAGTTGGCTGGCAGCAGGCCGAAGCGGTGGCTCTGGTTCACACAGAGGGAGGGTGGCAAAGCCAAGCCTGCTCTTTTTTTGTGATACTCGTGGCCACCTCAAAGACATCTACATAAAAATGCAGTAATTTAAAATGCATGCCTCAAACCATGCTGTAAATGTAATAATTCAAAAGCCAATACTTTTCTCTCTCTTTATCTATCCATATATATATCAGAATGAATCTCAGATATATATATATACAGTTCTCAGAATGAAAAGCAGTTTTTAATAAATTACTTGAATCGTCAATATATTGAAAAAAAGAATATGTATGTTTTACATGGCTAAAGCGATAATCGTCTTGCTGGCACCTTTGACTAGTTTGGCCGCATCTTCTGTTTGTTTCTTAGCTGAGCTTTTCAGACCAACGATTTACCGTTCTGACCTCCATCAGGGGAGCGAGGACGTTCTTTGTAGACCAGGGAGTTTTCATAAATGCTCATTTTATACAGGGTTTCACAGATTTATTTTTCTAAATACTGTATCTGAAAGGGGGGAAAACACGAAGTTCCTTCCCCCTGGAAAAAAAACATGATTTGGGGCATTTTATTTGAAACATGTTTCCCAAGGAACAGTTATCCTCCCGCTGGAAGCATTCAGTTTATAAAGTTCATTTTGTGAGGGACCCGAGCCAGGATAGGAGCCTTTCCTGTCTACAGGACAGCTTTTATTTAACTATAGAAGCAGCTTTTCTTCAACATACTAATTTACAGTAATTATATTAAGGATCAAATTGTACCTGGAAGGATCTTACTTAAAGGGTGGCAAACAGGGCGTTTGCCATTTCAGGCTTGATCCTACCTTGTATCATGAAGTTTATTGGGGGGGGAGAGAGAACTGATCCTTCTTCATTTGAACTCCCCCCCCCTTGGTGCGATTTGAACTGCTGCCCTTCCCTTATCAGAGGGAATCAAAAGTAGGAAACACCATGATATTTGGCAAGAGTCCGAGAACTTTGCCATTCCTAGTTGAACAAAGTGGCCGGGGGGGTCTCCATTTTAACTGCACTGTTTTTGGTTCAGAATCTGGAATGCCAGACCCCCAGGTGCATTCTAAATATTGTGACCAGTAGCCTGTCTGATTTTCATCACGTAGAAAACAAGGGCAGAAAGCAGTTTTCCGCATTTCATGGCATGTCTGGTCACGCCCTTGGCTCTGCAATGGGACATCCTGGGAAATGGGGGGAAACCGCGTGTGCAGTTGCGATGACAGAACTAACCGCTTGTCAAGATTCGTAGACCAGAGAGAGAAGTAGGTATCAGAATGTGAAGGGGCTCTTTGTAGTGGGACCTAGCCTGGTGGCTGGGCGTTTCTTCTCGACTTTTAAAATTCTTGATAAAATTTCTTTGTTCCACACACTGCTACTGTCTCTGAAATATAACCCAGAAGCAGGAAGAGAAATTTTATCAAGAATTTTAAAAGTAGAGAAGAAACGCTTGTATATATGCTTTCCACGTGTCCTGTAAAAACTGTCCGGAACACCCTGTGTAAATTCATTCCCAGGTTAAATGCAGATTTGCCCTTCAAACTCCATATGATTTGGCTTTTATGGCTTCTTATACAAGGCACGCTGGATTTTAAGTTGGAACCTCTTAATAGAATTCTGGAATCTTAAGTCCTAGTGATCCTCGTGGGAAGCCGTGGCAGAGGCACCACTTGTTTTGATGGAAGCGTACAAGTGCTTTGTTTTCTTTTACTTGCCTCTTCCAGAAAGTGTTGTGGTTGGTTTCCTTTGGTGCCTCCCCACCTTTACGGCCAGAGTGTAAGCCAGGTTTCTGGAATACCTGCTCGCCAGCCATGTGTGTCACAGTGAAAGCCTTCAGCCTTCAGCTTCGGGTGGCAGGTTATTATTAATATTTTTTGCATAAGATTTTAGACAATTGAAAGTTTCCCTTCAAAAATTAAAAATAAATATAATTGATAATCCAGGGGCAACATCCATCTAAGGCATTTCCCCCAGGTAGTCTCCATAATGTTCTCCTCTTTCACCTGCTCTGTTTCACCAACTCTGTTATCCAGATTTGCAGTAGGATTACTAACCAAGGCATGTAGAACTCTGTTCCTCTTTTAAGAGGAGAAGCTATTGTGGGATGAGATACGCAGTCTGCCTTTGGGGGTTGGCATTCACTGGATTCTTCCAAATCCTATCCAGTGCTTTTACATTTAGGCTATTGGTTGAAAAAAAAAAGGGCATACTGTAACTTCTTGAAAGAAGATGAGCCCATCATGGCCCTCACCCCGTGTTAGGAGTTGCCCTTTCCTTCTTGATTCTTCCTCCTCCTTGGTTCTCATGGAGAAAAAGCCTGTGGACAGTTCCTGGCTGGATTTTAAGGAGGATAGGCTTTGGCTAGAGGGGGGGCATTGTAATCTGTCCAGGCCTTCCTTTGAACAGATCGAATGGAAAGCTTAGAGAGGGCTGTGGCAGCACCGGAGCAGAACTGAAATGAACGGTTTCATTAATGACGCAATACCTCATCTGCACAGAAAGCCATAATCTTAAAAAAAATGTCTGAAGCAGGTTGGAGCTGTTTTTATTCATTTCCGTGGTTTTTAAAGAGGCTTACGATATCCCTTGGAGGCACTGTTTTGTCCCGTGGTGGGAAAGAATGAAGTAGATGTGCTCCAGGATATTTTGGTTTCTGGTGCTGGGAGGCAAGAAGCCAAGGCTGCTGCTACTGGTGGATCCCTGCCTTGTGAAGCACTTTGTGATCACTCAAAAGATAGCCACACATTTTGATGTGTTCCTTTCTTTGCAGCTCAACCTCCTGGCCATCAGACACTCTCCCCCCCCCCAACCGCATCTCTAAAATCCTTTTCATAATTTAAGAGTTGGGCCCCAAACCCCCTTATTCCACACTGCAACATTTGGGTTTTACTACAGTTCTTCACCACCAGCTAACAAGATGTAGTCAGCTATGACCTAGAACCTTTTGTTGCTTTGCAAAGAACCGAAAATCCTGCATGACTCCCTTCCGAGCACATGTAGTAACTTGAGTACCTGAAGTGTCTTTTGTGGCAAAACATAGTTTGGTTATTCCTTTGCAGCTATCCTCGTTTTCTGTTATTAGGCCAAATAAATATTAACAGACACCAAATCTCCCAACGGAAATGGAAAACAATTACTGTGTTGTGAAAAGGGGAGGGGAAAGATACCAAACTTTTTTTTAAAAAAAACCCTTCTCCTATGGATTCTTAGGATTCTTAGAAAGCAGTGCTTTCTGCTAGAAAACACCAAACTGCAGGATTTAAAAACTACTGTGAAAAAGATTTCATTTGCAGGAGAATATTACCTGTCCAGAGTTGTTTCCATGTTGCCCAAAAAAGTTTTATTGCAGATGTATCTTTTACAAGAATGCTTATTTTGGCCCCCCGCCTTTTTTTGTTAACTTGGAGGGCCACAGGAACTAGAAAGATTTCAGGGGCACAGAATACTTACTTATGCACAGAATCGTAGGATATGTGCTGGTAATAAAGTTGAAAGGAAAAAAATGTCAACACAATAATCCGAGTGCACATTCTTTGACTCTTTAGGACAAGAAGCAACTCAGTGCACTGATCAGATTTAAAAATGGTAGCCAGAATGCTATAGTGGATTTAAACCTGTGGAAGTGCAATTGCTCAAAATACGATGGCAAGTGGTTGTCACTCACATTCCTAGTTGTATGCCATTCGTACAACTTGCATATGATAGGAATGCTGGTGGCAACTCATTCGTTGGTTGGGAATTCAACTCAACGCTGGGAAAATTCTGGCCGGTCTAAATTCTTCTGAAAATAAGGCTGCACACTGAAAAGACTTTAAACCGCCAATAGCTTAAGTTAGTGTTCATTTTGAAACGTAGTCTTTAATTCATAGAAACATACTATCTTGTTGGGTAATATGGTCCAACCTAACTGTTCCAGATTGTGTGCTTTGGTTTCTACTGCAACATGGACCTGAAATCTACTTGGTAGGTAAAACGGCCAGCTGAATTTTGAAAATGCTTCACCTACTGAAAAGCTGCATATAGGCATCTCATAATGAAAAATATAAGTAAATATATATATATATATTTAGTTCCATTGTGAACTGGCCATAAGACAACTTCTTTTTTATCAACTTATTAAGTTGGGGCATTTTACTAGCTCTTGCTGAGTTTAGCAGTGTTTATAAGCGTGTGTTAAACACATAATGTTTCAAGTGTAATGAAGAAAAAAGGGATAACAAAAAAAGAAATGTGACAGATGAATGTGTCTGCGTGAATTAATTGGCATAATGTTCTGGGATTTTGATTTCAACACAGAGCTTTCTTTTTCTGGTTTTTAAGACAAAGACTTGTTGCATGAGAAACAGTTTTAACTGTTCTGCACTTTTGGTCTGTTTGTATTCGGTTTTTTTCCCCATTTATATATAGAAATGGCTGAATGTAGACTTAAAAACATAAACCACTATTTCACATTTACATGTGTTCAATCCATTGTTCTACAGTTCAATCTTAATAAATATTTCAATACGAGCTGGTGTGTTGTGGTCTTGTGTTTGTGGGAACAGGAATAATCTTGCTTTCCCTCATGGTTTTTCCTAAATGGGAACAGTGTATGAATGTGGATTATAGAACCAGGGAGAGAGTTGGAACCCAAAATGTGGAGAGTACCAGGTTGGAGAAAAGTGGTCTCATCCAGCAGTGTTCCCCAACGTTTGCGTGTCCTTATGTTTTTCTGTCCATATTCCTTGCTGCTATAGCATATTGACCTCAGGTCCTGAGGTCAAATATGGAGTTTTTCTATACCTTTTTGGGAAAATGCACATACTAAGACCACGGTAATCCATTTTACACTGTCTCTAACCATCCTGCATTAGGACAGCCCTGACTCTTTAAGAAAAACAGTAAGAGGTGAAAATAGTGTAGAATGGACCTCAGCTGTTCCACTGGACATTTTGGAGGAAAGTGTGATGCTGTGCAATTTGTTCAGCGAGGATGGTGTGCTGTCGGTCTACTTCACCCAGCTCTTGATTCATAAGAACGGACCTGAACCTGCGATTCCATTCAAGGTGCTTTTTTAATCAGATGCCTTTTTAAAAACATGACACACAGGATTTTGTAGGATGGAGGCAGACAAAGGGCTTTGGAGTGTTAAGCACACCTTAATACTTGCATGAAGCATTTCCTCAGTCATTAGAACAGAAGGTCTCAGATTATGCTCCTGCTGAAGTGGTTCAGTATACAAAAGTCTTTTATGATGTGGAGCTCGTACAGTAACAATGGAAAGTCTTTCTTGAGAACGGATATAGCACAATGGCAGACTCTGTGATGAATCAGACAACACGTTCAGATTTCACTTCTCCCTTAAACTCATGGCATATCCATCATGACTGGATGCCTGAAGCCAGCTCCTGTTGATCAAATAAACCGCCTAGCAGGCTCAGCACACACTGACACATACAGGCAGCAGCTAATAGTGAGAGATTCAAGGCGCCTACATCAAATGTGTAGCTATCCTCTCGCTTCTCCCAGGTTAGAAATCAAAGAAATGTTTTGGGGGTTTTTGGGACTTTTTTGTTTTGTTCAGAACACCTGTAAATCTTGGAAGAAACTGCAGCAATGCCAGGACTATAATGGAGAAAGTACAAAGAGAGTAGTGGGGCGGGAGGGAAGTTACATTTATAAATGATCTCTACATGCTGCCCTTAAACAAAAAAAAATATTTTCAAAATAGCTTACAAATAAAACAACAACGTATTTCAGCAACAGGGAACGATGGGAAATGGCAGAATAAAGCTAAGAGCAAAAAAGTGTCAATGAATTTTAAAAGGTGTTCAGCGGCTTCCAACCACAGGGGTCTCCCTGGGGAAACTTCCACAAGTAGAGCCCCCCCCCAATGTGAAAGCATGTGGGTGAAGGGTCCTCGCCCAATTGACAGCGGCCTTCGCTGCGAGCACAGAACGGGAGTCTCTAATTTGCCGTGGAATCTGTTTTGTTTTTAAATTTTGGAATTTGCTTAAATGTTTGTTAGTCACCTTTTGGGTCTAGGAGAGAAGCTCAGCATCTGTTTGCAATTTTTTCTCATGATTCCTATCAGTGGCCAAATGTTTGTCTGAAGAGAGGTGTCTCTGAAAGGGCGTTCCGCAGCTTGGGTGCAGCCAGTGAAAGGGCGCCTTCTCGATTTCTTACACTCACATGTATTTCGAAAGAGGTGGGATTAAGAGAAGAGCCTTCTGTGAAGAACTTTGAAGCATGGGAGGCAAACCCAACATAAACCCATCCTTGGGCACAGGGCAACTGCGTAGTGAAGGAAGTAATACCTGCAGCACCAGGGGTTACCATTTTTTTTAAGTCGAGGATGGTTTCTGTTCCTCCTCTTGCCCATTCCTTCTGCCTGCGAGTCACAGAATTCTTCTATATTAAAGTCTGCCTTCATGTTCAGCTGCAATCTTGCTTTTGAAATTTCTTAAAACTTTTTTCAGTGGTGGTTTCAGTCATGGTTGATTTCTGTCAGCAATACAACCGCTCCGCTTTCTGGAATGTAATGGCTCCAGACAGCAACCTTGTTGAATCTTTCTGCCCCTTATATCTATTATTTACATCTGATGGTGCTGCATACCAACAGTATGCTGTTCTCCCTTTGCAAGGAGTCCCAGAATGTTCTGGAAGCAATACAGGAGACACTCACAACACTGTACCTCCAAACTCAGCAGAATGTTATTTTGTAAACCAAAAGCACCCCCTGCTGTTAAAAATAGCCAACACATTTTAAACGTCAAATCCTACTGTTGAAGCAGCCTGTGACAGAGAAGCAACCTGATTACAGAAGAGCCAGCAGGGTATAAAAAGGAGGTGCTGATCTCATACTCATGCTTCGCCCCCCAGCCACAAAGTCCTGCAGAAGGAAGCAGGCGCCACTGTCACCTCACAGGCTCATCAATGACCACACCAGCAGTGAGGAGGCTTCAAAGGCACCGCTAAACCGAATGAACTATGGATCTGCAGCGATACGCCTGCTGCCTCATAGCAAAGCAAAAGGGAGATTTACGTGTCTTGACAGAGCAATGCAGTCTCAGTTTTCTCACATCTATGAATAGAGATGTTCTAGATCAGGTACTGGTTATATCTGAATTAAGTCCTTCTGAATTTCATTTATGTTTCCGTTGTTACATAGAAACACTGTTATAAAAACAGACTTAAAGTTCCGTTATCCCTTAGGCATTTAATACTGATTTTCAAGCATCTAAGTAAGTTTCAGTTTCAGCTGCTTCCAAGGAACATGATTTTATCAAAAGACCAAAGTCTTTCTTTCCATTACATACAAAATGCATAATTGAAGTTGCTTACAACTATTTGTGCTGATTTATCATACTGATATCCAACAAGTTTTATTACAAAAGAGCAAAGAAGGCTTACATATTTACAATGTTTTATAGTACTGTACTATTCAACACCCTGTCCCAATATGACACAGCAGAAGTCCCTTTAGGTCACAACATCGTTACCTGGAATTCTGAAAGGAAATTCATTAGGAAGAATTCATTAGAATTTTAGCTGTACAGACTCAATGTGGGGTGAGGTGAGGGAACATTTTTAACTACAGATACTGGAAGAAAATATATAACAAAGGGAAAACAGCAGAAGCCTATTTACTATACACCAGCATTTGGAAACATGCCTGAGCTCTTAAAAACCAGAACACAAGAGCATTAGTTCAGGGAATGGAAGCACTTTAAAAATAAAGCTCTAATATATACTTTGTTCCATCTAACTGGAACACATAGAACCATTACGATAATAGTCCTACTTCTAGGCACCTGAGAAGACTACCTGCTTGGCATTTGTAATAGCAGCTTTTTTAAAAAAACAAGTAACCTAAATCCTTGGGAAAAAAGACATTACTTCACTGCACCAGTGCTAATAGAGAATATAACACCATTTAGAAACAGGTAAATCCTTCATCTTATGTGTGGATAGGTTCCTTTTAAGCAACAGCGTCCCCATTAGTTCTGAATGGAGAAACCACTCGTACAGAAGCGCCAGATGCCACCCAGACCATGTACGAGGCCTGGGATCACAATAACAATAAGTTTGAGGAGACCGTGTCTGTAACAATTTGCCTTATTTAAAACTTCAAGTGGGATCTAAAGACAGTGTTCCTCTTTTAAACAAAATTAAGCAATGCAATTTTAACAAATTTTGCCCAACAAACTGCACTATTAGCTAAAGGCGTCTCTGTTTCTGGAAGCACAGAAATATAACTCTTAAACCAGGCTGTCGAGTCTAAGCAAGGTGCACTTGTTCATTCGGCATCCGTGAAAGTAGTAACGTAAAGTGACATTCATATTTTAGTATTAAGAATTATCCAGTGACTTCCAACCAGCTTCCCCATTCAGTGTCCAGTCCATAGCCAGAACGATCAGATATAAACAGAAATACACATAATGCTGCTTCCAAAAAAATATAACAATATACTTTCTCAGAAAAGTGGCCTAATAAGTTAGGGACCTAGAAGAAAAATACACCAGATGGAAGCTTACAAAATCCCAGCTGATATTGAATGAATGCACTGGGACCCTGATCTCTATTCAACCTTCCAGATCGCGACCTTCCCTTCCTCCTTCCCAGAGCCACTAAGAACATATCTGTTCTCCGCGGAGCACAGAGCTTTCACAGTATCGCTGTGTCCAACCAGTTCTTTTTCCACCGTCTTCTTCTCTGCATCAATCACATAGATTTTCCCTTTGATTTTGCCTTGGGAAAGTCCTCTGCCACCAAGCCACATCTGAAAGGCAAAGCTGTCCATGAACACGGCTTTCTCTTTCTCTTAGAAGCATACAAACGGCACCTCTTTGTATGGCATTACGTAGCAGGAACAGAAGAGCTCAGAGCCACAATTGCACACGGAAAAAGAAACTATGTAGGTAAGAGAGTTACAAGATCAAAAATGAGTGATGAGAAAATAATTAATTAACGGTACCTATATCCATCACTTTTAGAGCAGCAAATGGTGGGTACTGAGGGAATCTGACAATCGACCAGCCTTTTATATATATATAAACAAAAGTAGTAAAAAGATACATTTATATGTATTTGCGATTCCCAGTGTGACGGACGAGGACTCTGGAGAACAGGGTTCAAATTTTGTGCAGGGGTAGAACTGGTAAAAAAAACCCTTTAAATATCTCACTTACCTTGCAAACCCTATTTGGGTCACTGTAAGTCAGGTCCAAACTGACAGCACAGCTCACACGCACACACATACACACACCTCTAATATGGTTTTAGATCCTCCGTTGTTTCAGTGAGGGGAGTCTCAAAAGACACACGACCTGTCATACAGTAGTACCTCGGTTTACGAATGCATCAGTTAATGTAATTTTCGGTTTATGAACGGAAATCCATTGAAAATAATTCCTCGGTTTACATTTTCCCCCAGTATTTTTCGGTATGCGAAGACAGTTTCCTCAGGATGCATTGTGTTTGGAGGTTTATAGTGCTGCCCCCGTTCCTATGGCAATCCGCGTTCTGGTTTACAAATTTTTCGCTTTACGTAACATCCTGGAAAATGCATTAATTTCGTAAACCAAGGTACTACTGTACTGTTTTTTTGAGAAAGCAGTTGGTTGGAGTAGGGAGAATAATTACACCATGGATGAAATGACACTTCATTTGATTAAGGCTGTCAGACATAAGCCAACTAGAAGACAGCAAGAATCACAATGTATCAAAGACCTTTGAAGGCACTCGAGCCCATTAAAGGAAAAGGGGAAAATATTTCAAATGTGATTATTTCATAAGGCACAGAGAACATAACAGCTCTAAAAAACACTCCACAGCTAGTTCTAGGAGTCTTGGTGCTTTAGATTAATTTGCTTTTAAAACTGAGCGGATTTTCAGTTTGCAGTCATATGGTATTGGGGGTAGAGGCTGTAAAAACAATCTGTGCTGGCAAATGCAGATTAATTTGCTTTTAAAACTGAGCGGAATTTCAGTTTGCAGTCATATGGTATTGGCTGTAAAAACAATCTGTGCTGGCAAATGTACACAATGTAAGCAAAAACAGAGCGCTAGATCTTAAACAATAAGCTAGGAGAAACAGTGTCCCAATGTATCTGTTTTACCTGGTCTTTTACTTTCATCATGCATGTGATCTCTGAACAGTCCTGTAGGTTTATCTTTTGCACAGCTGCAGAGGGCTCAGTCATATTCCAGATAAACAGTTCAGTGCTGTTAGAGCAAGATGCCCAGACTTGATCTTTCTAACGTTAAAAATGCAAAAGATAGAAACACGCTCAGTTCAGGGCAGAAAATTCTCTTAGCACACACTTATATTTCAATAATCAATCTCAAATTACTATTTACTACAAAGTACCTCGGGGAACATCTGGAAGCAGCGCAAGGACACACTGACATTGTCTTCCATTTCTATCTTCTGCCGAATGGACCCGTTTGTGGTGACTACAAGGATACAGCTGCCTATACCTTCAAAGACACACAAAGAAGTTGGTGTGAGAATGCTCAGAAGCCCCACATCTCTGTGTGAACCTCTTGAATATTCACGTACGACACTATCCTCCACTATGTTCAGAGCCCTTCATTGTTTCAGGCACAATACTTGAATAGGGTGAATGTATTCACCTCAAAAAAACGCTATACGAATGCTATACAAGAGAGTGAGAGGCACAATATCCTTTCTACCTCTGGCATCTATAGCATTGCCACTCCAAAAATGAGAGCTGGTCCATAAAGAAGGCTGACCACTGAAGAATTGATGCTTTTGAATGGTCGTGCTAGAGGAGACTCTTGAGAGTCCCCTGGATTGCAAGGAGATCAAACCTATCCATTTTGAAGGAAATCAACCCTGAGTGCTCACTGGAAGGAGAGATCATGAAGCTGAGGCTCCACTACTTTGGCCATCTCATGAGAAGAGAAGACTCCCTGGAAAAGACCCTGATGTTGGGAAAGTGTGA